CTTATTTCACTTTTCTCGGTTTCTAATTCAACAATTTGATCATTAATATCTCTATTTATATACAAATATGTATTATAAAAATAAAACATTTGAAACTAAATTTCAAAATTAATCTATTGATATTAAATTTATATAAAAATTCAATTTATTGTTTTTGTAATATGCGATCAAAGTTAAAAAGATTACCTCAAAAGCCAAACTGGAATTTAATTTTAGGAGAGAAGGGTTAAAATAAGGCTTATGGAATTAAAAACTACGTTTATACAAAATTTCATACGGAGTATAATAAAAGTGAAATTTACACTAAATAGTACTAAAACATTGGTCATTTCCCAATATAATTATTAAACTTTTTTATTCCCTAGATAGTACGTACTCGAATAATGTCTAGTGGCGAGAACAATGTCCAGTAATTGTGGATACTTAGTTTAAACAATGTCCTGTGGCGGTAGACAATTACTTGAACGATGAGCAGTGGACAATGACCACTATACATTCAAAAATAAAAACATATCATACTACATTGAAAAAATCACTATGTTTTAGTAGTATTTAAATAAATTTCTCTTAATAGAATGACACAAAAACATAACCAGATTAAAACGCAAATAGTATATAGGGAATTATTTTTTGGACGGAGCACTTTTATTTTCTAGGGTAGTAATAATTGCCTCCGCGTATTAGTATGCCAACGTTATGCATATGTTTTACAAAGGCAAGTTAAGGGGAGGAATGTAAGGGAATGTAAGGGATAAGACTCGCTAATAAGCAGCTATACTAAGCATAGGGCTTTTGCATATAGCAGGTGTTGACTCTATTCTTTGTCACTAATTTGCGGTTAAAGTCTAGTTTTTTTCTTCTTAGTGAGACCATCCGGCCGAATCTGAGGAGGTCCTCAGAGAAGATGCTTATCCTTTATTTTACAAAGGAAGGCAAATTCTTTTGTGGGTGAAGTTTTCATAATTATTTTATAGACTTTGATACATAAAATAATTATATATATTTATTTTGCCTTGTATAGTTGGATACATATCTTCGTAGACGTACTCCACTTTTGTAGAAACCTACATCGAAGTTCTTAGGTCCTCTGGAAAAAAATTAATTATAAACTTATTAAATAAAAATATATTAAAAGATCTATATCTTAAATGTGAATGTTGGAACTACAATAACACAACTCTAATAAGATGATATACTCCGTCCACTCACCTGATTACCCATCGCTCCCTCATTACTCATTTTCTTTAATGTAATAATGAGGTAGGGTGAAATGAAAAATAAATACATAAAATAAAGTATTCAACCCTTGCACATGAAAATAAACTACACAAGCAAGAATCAAGTACCTTAATACGGAATCGGTTCCTAAAATAGAAATTAAGGATGTTATATACTTTTACATTTCTTAAAACACTTCTTCTTTCATTTTTCTTATTTTTCCTAAAACGTTTCCACTTTCCATTGAAAATCACTATTACCTCTACTTTTTCTTCTCCTACCCATCACATCATACGTTTTCATTATTAACCTATATAACGCCCCAAAACATACTTTAAAATTATTAATGAATAATTATTCAATTAATCAAATTTCTTTTGATTAAAATAAATTATTGTTTGGCTTTGGGCCGAAATAAAATGTATTTTGATATCCAATATCACAATCTGGATAAAAACCCAATATGTTGACATTATGTGTGATCTTAATTGGGAACCAGAGTACATACCCAAGTTAAGAGTAAATGGAGAAATTATTTATGATGTGAACTTTGAAGTTATTTATTAAAAATAAGTCATGAGAATAAATAATAATGAATTGGATGACAAAACCTTTTTGAATAAAAGTCAATTAAAAGAATTTTGACTCTGTCAAAGTCAAACACCCAAAAATATGATGTCGGAAAAAATATTACAAATAAATATAAAAATTATATCGTTGGATAGAGTTTAACTGTCTGATCGCAACGGTGCAAGCGGAATTCAATTCGGAGACAGTTGAACAAAAAGTGTACCCCGACTGGAACCAAAATTAGTCCCAATCAGGGAACGACGCCTCCTCCTCCACTCAGCCGATTGCGAAGAAATTCTCACACAAATCCTACGCAACAAGCTTGGCAGGACCTCCCCACTCTTCCTATATAAGGAGAACACAACTCCAATTTCTCACCATTCTTAACAACTCTTCTTCTTATTCTGTTGCTCTGAGTGAGGAGAACGCAATGGTGCTGTCAATTTGATGAGAGGTCGCCAGAGTTGAGAGTTATCATCGCCTGAAGTTTCACCAAAAAATTCTCAAAACCTTCGTTAAGCTTCGAGGTAAGCCCGTATATATATGTAGTGACTAGAATGTTCGTATAGATCATTTCTACGTTCATAAATGGTCGTTTGGTTGAGTTTCATGTTTGACATAATGCTTGAATAACTAAAAATCATAAACCTTAAAATTGTTGTTAAAACTATGAACTAATGATACACAAATGATCTATGAACATGGGAGAACTTTTCTATATAGTTTAATTGAATTTCGGTGACTAAAAATGATATTTCCGAAAATGGACCCGAGGAAGAAGATGATGAACAGTGCACGGTAACACACTACCACCGGTACGGTAGCAAGGTACCGTTCAAACGGTACCCACATACCGTCAGCACAGTAGGAATGCTACCGTCGTCACCAGCCTCTCTGGCGGTACCTGTCGACCGGCGATACCCTGTACCGTTGGCACGCTACCGAGGTACCGTGAAGGGTACCGTCTAATCTAATATTTTTTCAGAAAATTTGATTTTTGAACTATTAAATCCTATTTTTGACACCAATCAATTATGATCAATATGAACATGATTTCTGGAAATAAAAAAATGATGTTTTTGACAGATTCAAAAGCTTTGTTTGATGCATAACGGTAAGCTAGGGTGTTAACACTCGATGCTAGGCTGCTATTTGTTAATCAATGTTATATGATGATTATTATTGAATATTTACTATTATCCAACCTTGGTAATATTCTGGTTAAATGATTATAATGGAAAAACCATAATGAAATATCATTGAAAATAAATATAAATTATGATGATCAAATGGACGACCTGAGTGATTAAGACTACATAACGATAACAATTTTATTTTGGTAAAATAATAAGTATGGAAATGAATGAATAAACCGTAAGAATGAAATCGTGAATAGATATGTTTGTTTGACTATCTTGAGTTAAATGATGATATATTATGAATAAATGAATCATGATTCAAAATGAATAAGCTGATAAACAAGAAATAATATGTATTGTTAAGGATATCTAGAAGAACTCTAAAGATATACCCATTTAAGATAATTGATGTTAAGGCTATCTAGAAGACCTCTAGGATAGGTCTGAGACTAGAATAGACTTGTAAAAATATGAATATTCGGTGATTTGGATAAAAACGTATAAACGGGATTCATAGACCAAATTAGAGGATCACTCGTTTGGAAATAACCCAACTCAATGATGATTAATCACTGTTTTGTTATTGCCTTAAACTAATCATAGTTTAAGCGTCTAAGAACTGTTTGCCTTAAACTAATTATAGTTTAAGCATCTGAGAACTGTTTGCCTTAAACTAATTATAGTTTAAGCGTCTGAGAATGGTTTGCCTTAAACTAATTATAGTTCAAGCGTCTGAGAATTGTTTCCTTAAACTAAATACGGTTAAAGCGTCTGAGAATGAAAATTATTATTTGGCCTTAGACTAAGAATAGCTAAGAGCGTTGTTATGGTTTGACCTTAGACTAAGAATAATTTAAGAGCACTTTCGAAATAATGAATATCTGAATTGAATAACATGTATGGATATAAACTGAACAATATCAAAATCATAAATGATGAATATTGAAATAAACATTATGTGCATGATATCAATTGATTGATTATGAATTTAGATTCAGTTTATATGGATGTTCGACGCATTAGATATGCTTACTCAGCTTCAACACTGAGCATGTAGTATGTTTTATTTGCTACACGCATGTTAATAGAAAGAATGATGTGACGTGATCCTGGAGGCAGACGGAGGCGAGATTGTCGGAATGGATGCAATTGATTTTGAATTGAAAAACATAAATAATTATGTTTTGTGATTGTGATTTGTTAAGCTTCCGCAACATTGAAAACTCCATACTGTGTATGTTATGAAAAATATTATTGTGATAAATAAAGGTGCTTGAAATGTTTTAAATTTTTACGACAACCAAGTTAATACTTTAGCCCGAAAGGGGCTGCAGACCTAGACGGATTAGGGTGTTACAACCTATCCATCACATCTTACTTTTACCATCACATCAAGAGAAAAGTTAGAGAGTTAACAACAAATATACACTCCTTATCCTATCATATATATATATATATATATATATATATATATATATATATATATATACATACATATACATATATATATATATATATATATATATATATACATATACATATACATATACATATATATATATATATGTATATGTATATGTATATGTATATGTATGTATGTATATATATGTGTGTGTGTATATACATATATACACACACACACGCACGCACACACACAAACAACAACAACCGAGTTAAATCCCACAAGAGTAGGGTCTGGGGAGGGTGTGTGTACGCAGACATTACCCCTACTCGAAAGTAGAGAGGTTGTTTCCAAAGAGACCCACGGCTCAACATCGAAAGTTGCATTGTTTGACTAACTGCTATTTCATTAATTAAAGAAGCGCAGACAGTTTAGAGATCCATTTTGATTTATTCCATCACACCTCAAAGCCAAAAAATGGTGAAATTTTGGCTCCATCGGAGATGATAGAAATTTTATATATATATATATATATATATATATATATATATATATATTGAGAAAAGATAATTTTATTAAAAGAAGAAAAGAGGGATGGCCAAAATCCCAACAATCAGGCCAAAAAAAGAAACGGAAAAAAGAGATACAAACACCTCAAAGCTAAAGAGACAGCCACAACTGACAAACGTAAAATGCCAAACTTAAGAGGTACAAGCACCTCAAACCAAAATTGACAACCTAATATAGATAATCATATAGTGCTAAAATGAAGGGGCTAAAAGAGTACAACCCCAAATCTGCCCTGCTGTCACTCATCAACTCCATGCTTACTGGGTAAGTAAAACTGTCCAAAAAAAACATCTACTCATGCTGCAGAGATGAGAGTGTCTCAATATCAGGTCGCCTTAGTACTTGGGAGGTGGGCACTCTACCACAAGCCTGGGCAGAGAAATGAAGCCCAAAACATCTTCAAAAAGAAAAGAAGTTAGCCATAAGTCACGACGCTCGAAAGTGTCCATTTTGCAGCTCTAGGGTACTGCACATATGACCTGTAACTAAGAACAACATCAATAATCATCCTCATCAAAATTAAGAGTTGCCTTTTTTGATCTTTTCTTAGCCTTTTTCTTTTGACTCTTGGTCAAAGGTTTACTAGACGGCTTAGGGCGCTCCTCTTTTTTGTTTGGGCAGCATAGCTTGAAAAAATTGATGACTTCCTCTTCATACAGGTTCTCGGATTCGTGCAATGCATGTTCCTCCTCCCATCCAATTGGGTTTAGTTTTCTACCTTCTGCAAGAGTTTTAGATTTGCTTCTGGTGACTATTTGAGAGGGTGAAAAAGTTCTTCTACCTTTGAGCTCCTTTCTAAGGTTTAAAGGTTGCATAAAACACCTTGAAAAATCAATTTGTAGGGGCTTGAGCTTAGAGTCTATGAAAATCCTATCCTCTCCGTCGGAGTGGGTATAGAGGATAGGTCCATCCCTATCCTCTATAACGTCCTCTACTGCATTCAGACAATGTACAAGGCTCTTTTCATGTATTTTTGACAAAGGATCTATATGAACCAAGACTTTATTTTCGGTTTCATCACCTTGAGAGAAAAGTGTGGCAAATCTGTTTGTCTTCAATGGCATGAATGGAGGGGAAAAAGGGGACATGATAATTTTGGGTGGAGGGGGGAGGGTGGTGGAACAAGGGGGGGTACCTCCTTTACAACCATCCAAAGGATTTTCTTTTCCAAGAGAAAATGTGTTAACAGAGGGCATGTTCCCGTTAACCGAGCCATCCTCATTCTCCTCATTATGCTGGGTTAAAACCAATTGAGATTGAAGTGGTGAATCTGGAGACTCTGCTCCCAAAGGAGAAGGATGGGAAGGGCTCAGAGGTGGGAGCTCAGTTGATTCAAATGGGACAATATGAGACTCTGCTCCCAAATTGAAGACCAATGGTAAGCTTGTATTGGTTGGTCTCCCGGAGAAACCCCTTGACTTGTTGGCGTTTCCCTTGATCATGGGTATGTAATATTAGCCACACTTCCATTCACGTGTTGTACATATCTCTGTTCCGCCTTGGCATTGATCTAAAATGAACTAAATGACATTAATTTCATGTTTTGATTGTGGATCACAGGCAGAAAATTGGTTGCAGGAAGTGGCATCGCTGGAATAAATTAAAGGAGACTCAAGCCAACATAACATCACGCCCGATGTTGAGATTGTGCCGATGGACTATGTCAACACCGCCATGGAACGCCTAGCCAAAGCCGACGTGAAATACGGATTCGTATTGGATTTTTCCATAGAGGAATAGGATGGATTGAAAAGGCAGGCATGTAGAATATGCAAATTGTAAGGAAGATGATGTAAATATTAAATTATTAGATGTTAATAGTATTTTAAATGTATGAATTTATATATTGTTCAATATATTGTATTTTTTGAATTTATATTTATTTGGTAATCAACACAAGATAACAGCTGTCTAATAAAAAATTTAACTACCATTCAAACTAATAGTTTGAAGAGTATATGTACAACGACACAAACTCGTAGTATTAATAACATTTAGCCGATCAAAACAAACAGTTGTTTGAAATACTACAAAAACAGTAGTTCATATTTTTAAAATACAACGTGAAATAATGGTTGTCTGAAGCAAATTTCTTTAGTAATCTTTAGAGTAGCTGTCTCATAAACAATTCAACTACTGTCATAAACATAGTTTGAATACTTCAAGAAAAACTACAAAACACTTTTGTGTTAATAATCAATATACAACTAAAACAAACAGTAGTTTGAATAAGAATAATGTTAGTAGTCCATATTCTAGAAATACAACAAAAGATAACAGTTGTCTGATGGCATTTTTGTTTAGTAGTCTTCCGAGCAGCAGTCTGATATATCTTTCAATTACTTTTTAAAGTAGATGTCTATATTGTTGAATGACAACACCAAGAATTAGAAGTCTAAAGTTAAAAACAACAGTAGTATTCATTATACATAAACAACAAAAAATCACAGTTCTCTTTAACTTTAAAAAATAGATGTCTTACTCAAACAAGGACAACACTAAAAAGTCGTACTCTAAAACATTACAAAACAGGTGTCGTCAACCATTTTACACAACTGTTTTTAAACAATAGTCTGTAAATATATCAGACAACTGCTCGGAAGACTACTGAAATCAGCACCGTGAGACTACTAAATAGAACAGTTGTCAGCATCTGTTTTTGACGTTGTGGAAGCTAGTGCAGGAGAATCTAAGCTTTCTTTTAACTGGGGATCAGGTGGCCTGGAATCTTTAGACTTGGTGACTTTATCAATGAAAGAGGATAAAGCTTTGGAGAAAAAGTTTATATCTTCATTCCTAGGGCCAAAAGGGATTAAAATGAATGTCTGTCCTTCTCTTCTTTTCTCCTGTATTTTAATAAAATCTCCTCTCCTATTTGAACCAGCAGATAGTGCAATTGTATGAAAATCACCAAACAAAAATATTGCCCAGGATCTATTAGCTATAATCCTTGCGAGAGATTCCAAGAGCCAACTAATTGTAGCCAAATCAAACCAAATCCAGAATCTTTTGTACCCACAATCAGTGATGCAGAGGTTTCTATTATAATGGGAGTGAAAAAACTGAAATACCTTGGATTGAGTCCTGAAAGTGAAGGTAGTGTTGCGGCTTGGTTGGGTGGCTATGACAGGCTCTCTTCCACCATGATGGACCAGTCGTGAGTCGTGTGTTGCTGAGAACATATGAGTCCTTCAAAGCTTTCGAACTTGGGGATCTGAAGGGCCATCTCCTCCTTCGATTCTTAAGGGGGATCTCCTTCCTAGGATTGGTGTAATCTGATACAATTTCTCTACCACGAGTATGAGGAGGCGGAAGCCGGTTCAGGCAATTGGAGCAGCGCCATGGAGGTTGCCTGAATGTATAATCGTTAGGATCAAAGCACCTGGAAACGCTCTGCCTTCTCTCTAGAAACATTTTCTCATATATATATATATATATATATATATATATATATATATATGTATATGTATATATATATATATATATATATATATATATATATATATATATATATATATATATATGACTCTGAGGAGCAAAGCTAGAACTCTTCACTCCTCCTATTAATGATCTTGATCTTTTGGAATATTCGAGGTGTTCGTAAGTCCTCCCCAAGAATCCAAACTCTCTGTGCAGCTCATAAACCCTCCTTTTTAGCTTTTATGGAACCACTTCTTGATGATTGTCATTTAGACACCTTCAATAGGCAGTTTGGAATGACTAAGGCATCCTCTCATCTTAATAAGCAGCTCTGGATCATGTGGAAAGAGCCTACTCTCACTCTGTTACAGGTAGTTGAACATCCTCAAGTTGTCCACTGCCAGTTTTCATCCTTAGAAACACAGGGATCACTTTGGATTTCCTCTGTTTATGGAAGACACACCAGGGCAGACCGGGCACCTCTTTGGTCTTCCATATCATCTTGGCATACTAGATCAGATCCTTGGATTGTTGGAGGGGACTTCAACTGCATTCACAGCGTGGATGAACATAAGGGCAATTCTGAACCTTGCTACAGGTCTATTGATGAATTCAAGGAATGTGCAGAATCCTCCAACCTTCTTTATATCCATCCTTCAGGGGGGCACTATTCATGGAGCGGGAAAAGAAGCAATGGGAAAGTATGGAGACGTCTTGATCATATCCTTGATAACCAATCTATGATTGATACATTTACTTCCACCAATTTGACAATGCTTAGCAAGGGAGCCTCTGACCATAGGCCTCTTTTACTAAACTGTATTTTGGATAATTTCCTGGGCCCTAAACCCTTTCGTTTCCTCAACATGTGGTGCTCCCACCACACCCTTGAAAGTACCATTGCCTCGTTTTGGGAATGCAATAAGACGTACAATGG